CAAAACAACAACAAAAGAAACTTAATCATTAAGCAAACATTACCCAGTTTGGGAAAATGATCGTTAAACCCAAGCACTATTCACAGTGATGTAGTAGCCTTAAATGCATCTTATTTTCATCAACTTTTCTGATGTGGATCTCTCTTAGTGAGAACGGTAACATTAGGTAAAGCAGGAAAGCCTACAGATGTGTACTGCTCAGGCTGCTTGCTACAGGGTCAAAGTGTGCTCATGATTTCTGATTTCTAAGACACACAGACAGGAGACCTCACCTTCAAGCATCAGTGTGTTGGAAGCGGGAAGCAGTAGGTCCATGAAGTTATCTTGCTTTTGTGCACTTATCTGGTTGGGGTGCTATTTCCAGGGAGCTCCTTTATAGTGTGCCCAAGACGGAGTGCTCTAAGTTGCTCTCAGAGTTGTCCAGCTGCCCTCACCAATAAGTCAGAGTCTTTGTAGGATGATAGAAACCACAAGGCAAAGCAGATGCATATGGGTTATGGGGAAGCCTTCTTTAGAATCTAACATAGCTGGATTAAAACAAAAAAACTTAAACCATTAAGCAAATCTTAATTTTAATCATTAATTTAGATTATAGAAAATATCAACTAAGTGTTAAGCTTAAAAGTCTACTCTCCACATAGGCATTTTTGTTTTGTTTTGTTTTTTCAGACAGGGTCTCGCTCTGTAGTTCAGGCTGGCCTTGAACTCACTATGTAGAGCTCAGGCTGGCCTCAAACTTGAGGCCATACTCCTGCCTCAGGATGGGTGCTGGGATTACAGGTGAGCACCACCACACCCAGCTCAACATGGGGATTTAACATTAATATGGATTTTGTGAGCTTGACCTAGGGCTACAGAAGGGCCTTAATTTTTTTTTTTCTTTTGAGACAGGGTCTTGCTATATTGTTCAGGCTGGCCTTGAAATGACTATATAACCCAGGCCAGCCTCAAACTCACTGAGATCCTCCTGCTTCAGCCTCTTGAATGCTGGGATTACAGGTATGTGCCGCCACCACACCCAGCTAAGGCCCTAACTTCAGTCCTCTAAGAGATTAGTTCTATTTGGTAAACAAGTAAAATCCAGAAAGATTTCTTGGTAATTTAACTCATTCTCTCTGAGATTGCTAAGTAACACTTCCAGTGACTTCTGTTGTGCAAGTTGTATTCTAGTAAGGTATTTACAATTTTATTGCAATTTTCAATAACGATGTAAATACGTGTTCATTTCCTGGATTTTCCAAAACACAATGAGATGCAGTGAAGTGAAGCTCATGACATTTGTCTAGTGTACAGACCAATAAAATTACCTCAAAACAGTAATCTATGAAAATACTTCTCCAGGATCTTTACTTAGTGATGCCCTGGAAATCAGTTCAAAATTAAAATAATGCCTAGACATGCTTATAAAGTATGTATTTACCCTCTATTTTCTACAAGAAATCACGCAGTTGTCAAAGACTCCCAAGAAACTCTCACTAAACCAGAATTTCATTTTTCTTTAACATGAGGGTTATGGCTGGGCATGGTGGCACACACCTGTAATCCCAGGACTCAAGAGGCTGAGGCAGGAGGATCACTGAGTTTGAGGCCAGCCTGAATTACACAGCAAGATTCCTATCCCCAAAAAATAAAAAACAAGATTGCCATTATGATGAATAAGACTCATATTTTAGTGGAAGTTTTTTTGGATTACTACAAAAACTATAGTGTGCATAATTTATATAAATTATAAAGATATATTTACAGTATGCATAATTTCAAATATCAGGTATATATATTAAAAAAGGGCCAGGGATTTAGCTCAGTGGTGCTACCACTGAGCGCAAGGTTGTGAGTGCCTCAAAAGGGAGTTCGATCTCCAGTACCAACAAAACAAAACAAATCAGGTATACAACAAATTAGGATCTAGGATGTAGATCAGAAGTGGAGTACTTGCCTAGTATGTGCAAGGCCCAGGGTTCAATCCTTGGCCCAATTTTAAAAAAATTAATGCACAAGAAACTTTTAAAAGGCAAGACATTGCCAAGCATGGTGGCACAGACCTGTACTCCCAGCTATTCAGGAGTCTGAGGCAGAAGGATTGTCAAGTACAGTATGAGGGCCACCTGGGGAATCTAGTGAGACTGTGTCTCAAAACAAAATTTAGAAAACAAGGGCTAGGTGTAGTCAAGTGTTCTCTGGATTCAATCCTGAAGCAATAAAAATGGGATCAATTCAATATATAATCCCATATTCAGATAAAGCAAATTCTGGAAATTCACTTACAAGGGAGAATAGAAAAAATGCAAGGCAAGCCCGGGCCTGGTGGAACATGCCTATAATCCCAACACTCAGGAGGCAGAGACAGGAGGATCACCATGAGTTTGAGGTCAGCCTGAGCTATATAGTAAGTTCAGGGCCTGCCTGAACTACATAGCAGAGTTTATAGCAAATACAGTATTGAAATTTTTCTATGCCCTAGCCCTTAAAAGTAACAACTAAATTCAATTGAAAAAACCAAAAGAGGTGGGTGTGGTGGCACACACCTGTAATCCCAGCACTTGAGAGATGGAGGCAGGAGGATTACCAGGAGTTCAGGCCAGCCTGGGTTACATAATGAGTTAAAGGCCACCCTGAACTACATACCAAGACCCTGACTCAAAAAATCTAAATAAATAAATATAAAGAAAAAAAAAAAGCCAGGCGTGGTGGCATATGGCTATAATCCCAGCACTCGGGAGGCAGAGGCAGGAGGATAGCCTGGGTTACACTGTGACTTCAGGGCCAGCCTAAACTACAAAGTGAGATCCTGTCTCAAAAAACAAACAAACAAAGAAATAAATAAATAAAATGGGCTGGGGATGTAACAAAGGTCCTGGGTTCAATCTATAGCACCACAAGAGAGAAAAGAGTTACCAAGTATACTAGTGCCATCATCTGTGCCCTTGAGCTCCCTGTAGTGAGACCCAGATGATAAGAGGTTGAAGTTTTTGAAATCATCACAGCTTCCGAAGGTCCACAAATCGAACAGGGAAAACAAATGATTTGTCTCCTATTGATTTCCTATGATCCCTGAAGAGCAAAGTCCCATTGCTCTGTGCCTAACCCACAATGAATGAGATGACAGATTTCAAACAAATGAAAACCAAAAGATATGGACATTTACACACCTGTTCATTTACTTCTGCCAATTCCAAAATGATAAGAAAGCCATTCTTTTTTAAGAGAAGGAAAATTTTTATTTTTAAATTAATTAGGGTGTTTTTTTTTGTACTAGGAATCGAACTCAGGGCCTTGTGCTTGCCAGGCAGGTGTGGCACCACTGAGCTAAATCCCCAGCCCCAAGAGTAAAGAAAATTTATTAGAGAGAAAGATAGCTTCTAAGAGAGACAGAAGGGGGACCGGAAAGTGGGTTTTACCCCAGAAAGCCATTCTAATATAGATTCCATAGTATACTCAGTAACAGCATAGAAACACAGGTTGCTGAAACCAAGGCGCAATACCACTCAAGATGTGTTTACTTTACTCAAACACATGATCTGAAAAAGTTCTGAATACAGGAAAGTTTCCAGATTTGCAAATTAAGACCACACTGCTGCCTGGCCATGTAATTCAAATGATGGGTGTTGTCTGAGGTAAGACTATCTCACCAAATGCAAAGGAAGCCCTGCAGAAAGAACTACGCCCCCTAAAAAAGAAAAATAATAACTAGGATATAGCTCATTGGTAGAGCACTAGCCTATCATGCTTAAAGCCCTGGGTTCGATGCCCAGCACAGCAAAAAGTTAAAAATAAAAATAAGCAGGGCGTGATGATCACACCTGTAATCCCAGCACTGTGGAGGCTGAGGCTGGAGGAACCGCTGGGAGTTCAAGGCCAGCCTGAACTATAGTGAGACCCTGTCTTAAAACAAACAAACAAACAAAATCCCTAAATAAATTAAACAAGTAGCAAAACAATGCCCATTTTGGGAGTTACACCGGAGTCAACAAGCTTAGATGATTTCAACCAACACCAACGAATCCCACAAACCTGTACACTTCCCATAACCTAGGTTCCCCAGTCATTGAACAGGTTCCTAAAGGACCCTATTTCTCTGAGTGAAAAGCAAGAGGCCCCCAGTCTCCTCTTCCCAACAGATGCTTCCTGCTCTTGGTTCGCTGAACTCTAGCTGTCCAAACCCTCACCATTCAGGCGCCCATCTAAGTGTCAGGCTCTTCCAGAGCATCAGGGAAAACAGAAAGCAACGTTTGTGGCTCAACAGGAGGCTCGGCCTCTGATTTCTCTCTCTCTCTCTCTCAGCACCTAGGATGGGGCAGTGTTTAATGCACCTTGAGAGAATTGAAGGGATCCACACAGACGAATGCAGAGCTCCAGGCTCCCACCTCGCTGGCCCATCGCCCACTTTTGCCAGGGCGCTGTCAGGCTCTCGGGCCGTCACCCTCAGGGTCCCTGGCTCAGGCTGAATTAGTGCAGCCTGCAAGGGGCGGTTTCGTCTCTGCGTGTTCATCTACGACTGCTTGAGTGAATTTGAGCCAGGGTGGTCCTCGTGGGCACCTATGGGCCTTTGGCACACAAAGGCCCCCTGTACACGCTGCGTGGAGTCTCCAAACAGGACTTCACACAAATCGTTATTCATAGGGAGTTCTGGGGCTGGCCCCAAAAGAACTCGTCTTGGTTGTATCGTGGACTTAGCGCACCCAGGGCGCCTGGTACTGTGATTTTAGAGTCAGGAACCGTGAGGCCTCGAAGGCCTGGCCCGGGAAGTGTACACTCCGCATCCCGATCCCCCGCCTTCCCTACTCTGAGGCTGGGACCAAGTTTCCCGCCCAAAGGCCCAACCAGAGGTCGGTGGCAGTTGGCGGCCGCTGGGGCCGGTCCCAGCAGGTTGGAACCGGTCTGGGCCGGACCGGAGGAGAAAGGGGGGGAGGGAGAGGCCGCCTCGCGCTCTCCCTGCGCGCGTGACTCACGCTGGCCGCTGACGTCAGGCGTGCGCGCGCGGCGGGGGGGGCTCTACGTACGTGTAGTGCTGCGGTTTCTCGGGCTGTGCCTGCAGCACCTGAGCGGTAGCGGCCGGGGGCGCCGAGGAAGCTGCGGAGCCGCCGGGCCCGGGGCCCTTCGACATGGTCCTGTCTTCCTGCCTCTTCGCCGCTCCCCTTTTATTATTCAGTCTGCGCGGTCCGCGGCTAGGACTCAGTGCGCGTGCGCCGCGCCACGAAAACGTGAAGACCCCCCGCATGGGGGCAAGGGTTGCTGGGAGTTGTGGTCCTCCGCGGGGCTTAAATTTTACCCTCGGCAGAGGGTTGCTGCCAAAGTATGGGACCACAATACCCAGGGGTCCCTGCGGACGATGTCCCGGATTCTGAGGCCCCACGATGGCTTCTGGGAATTGCAGTCCGGTCCTGCTTCCTTATCCCTTCGAGTTTTCAGTTTCCTAGGGGAACCTTTTCTAGACACTGGAGCCGCTGAAGTGGAAGGGTCCCAGAACTAGGAAGGCCCTAGCGAGGACTTCTGCGAAACAGTTGCAAATATAATTTCACTGACAACAGTGCGATAAATACCTTGCCTCCATACCTAGTACAGCTTTGGCACGGTGCACCAGGCAGGGTTTAAGACTTATTGCGGTTCCTAGCTGTACTTAGTTGTACTTCAGACACCTGGAGTTGGCCGACATCTTCCCCATCTCTGCAGTGCGACTAACCCGACAAGCGTGAAGTGAAGCCTGATGCTGAAGTCAGTTTGAGAAAGCTTTGCTATCAACAGCCCCCTGGCGTCTTTGTTAGGTGCTTCATTAACATTTACCCACCCTGAAACCTGGAATTGGACGGCTTGGGTCCCTTCTCACCTTGACACTTGGCCGGACTAAGTTGTTTCCAACACATTAAGGGCCAACAACGAATGTAATCTGTCTAGAATGGTCTTAGAGGTCCACTGGCAAGTTGGAGGGATGTTGAGAAGCATCACAAGAGTCAGAGAAGGGGCCTGGGTTTGAGTAGGGGATGTCCATTAGAATCCACTCTAGTTTCTTTATCTGGACCCAGCCTCTTTATTTGGAAAAATATTTTTCAGTTCCTACTCTCGCCCCGTTAGGCACAGTTGTTTTTTTTGAAAAATAAACGAGTTGCAGGCTAGGTGTGGTGGTGCACGCCTGTAATCCCAGCACTTGGGAGGTTTAGGCTGGAGGATCGCTGCGAGTTTGAGGCCAGCCTGGGCCGTATAGTGAGTTCAAAACTAGCCCAGACTACATTTTGAAACCCTATCTCAAACACCCCTCCCCCCAAAATATGCCAGTTGCCTGGACGTAGGCATTTGGGGTTTTTTCTTTTGTTCTTGTGCACATGTGTTGTGTTGTTTTGTTTTGTTTTATGGGGGGTGAGCAAGGTCTTGCTATACAGTCCAGCCTAGCCTTGTAGTTGAAGCTGGCCTTAAATTCATTTTGTAGCCCAAGCTGGTCTGAAACTCAGTGGTCCACCTGCTTCAGCCTCTCCAGTGGTGTGATTATAGGCATGTGCCACCAAGCCTAGGGTACAGGTGCTTTAAAATGTTCATAATAAATAACATTTGTTGATTAACTGTTTTACATATTGAATCGATTTCAAATCCATTGTTTTAAAGACTGATTGGCATTTTATTAAATAAGATTATGTTAGCTAATGAATGTCTCATTAAAAAAGAACATTCTGAATAACCTTAGGAATGAAGGAAGGTGGGGCAGATGGAAAATTGTTAGTGTTTAAGAGTAACACTTCTTTAGTTCGGACTAACCTCACACAAGAAGGTGAATTGTCAGCTTACAAAGTTGAGAAACTGGTATCTCCTCTCTATTCCTTTTTTTTTTTTTTGGTACCGGGGATCGAACTCTGGTCCTTGCGCTTGCGTAGCAGGCGAAGAAACCACTGAGCTAAATCCCCGGCCCCAAGAAACTGGTATTTCCTAGGCAGGTGAAATCCATCCTTTATCTCCTAGGGCCCTTTGAAGATGAAAATCTCAAAGGACAAAATTCAGAGTGTATTCCTTTAAATCCATGATTCAATCCAAATAGTTGGTTTTTATGTTATCCCTGAAACACCTGAGTGGTGTCACGTCAGAACTACAGTTCACAGCACTAGATTTCAATAATAGATGTATAATATGAGCTTTAGAATAAAGGTGTATTGGTAGAATTAGGAGATTATATCATCCAAACTGCTTAATTTACAAAAGAGGAAACTGAAACCCAGAGAAGTTAAGTAACTTTCAGAAAGTTACTCAAAAAGTCGGTGACAGAACAGGAATGGTAACCTACATGCTGCATCACATTTGCTGTTTTTGTTTGTTCATTTGTTTGTTTTTGTTTATGTTTGCAATGCTGAAGACTGAACCCAAGTCCTCTCCTTGACTGTCTAGGCAAGCCTTCCACCACAGTCATGGGCCCAGCCCTATTTGCTGGGGTCTTATTGTACTATGTAGACACTTTCAGTTCTTTTCCACTTCTTGCATTGCTTTTCCTTTTCTATGCCAATTTAGAAAAAAGAAAAGCTTGTATGACTCTCAGGTAAGATTGTCAAACCATTTCCACTAATCACCCTTAAATGAAAGAGTTCAGGTTTTAGTTTCTCTTTAGTAACTAGCAAAACTGTGCAGCGGGGCGGGGGGGCGGCGCCTTGTCCTTCCCCCTTGGAGACAAAAAAGTGAGAGCTCTGAATTTCCTAGAAAATCTGTGGAACACAGAATGAGTGAGAGCATGCCTGAGGTCAATTCAGGAGCCCATTCCTCCCTCAGGCCATTTGAATTATCACAAAAAGACTAGGCTGGGCAAGGTGGTAGAAACTTGGCCTGTAATTCCCTCTAGTTGGGAGGCAGAGGCAGGAGGATTGAAAGTTCAAAGTTTGGGCAGTTCAGGAGATCTATATATCTCAATAGTAGAGCATCCAAGTGATTCCCAATAATGGGGTTGGGGTAGGGAAGGACAACCAAGTATTTTTTTCTGGTTGCATCCTAGAGTATTTGATAGCTATGTGGGTCTGAATAGTATCCTATCTCTTTACTTTTCACATTCTGAGGACAGAGCAAGAGCCTGTGTCTTACTCTCTCAGTGGGACATGAATGAAATAACTGTTTGTCTATCCCAATCTCTGAGCAGAAGGCAGAAATTAAAGTTTGTTAAACTAGTATATGGGGGGCTGGGGGTGTAGCTCAGTGGTAGAGCGCTTGCTTAGCATGTGAGAAGCATTGGGTTTAATCCCTGGTTACCCCCAGACACACACATCATAAAAATAATGAAAGGGATTTCAGTAACAAAAGTGGGGCCAAAGATGCTTCTGCCATACCTACTTTTTCAAATTATATATTTTTTTCTGCACTCTTGATATTGAAACAAGACCTTTGATGTGGCAAGTAAATATTGATGTATTTGTATTTAGGTACAATAAATTCTCTCAGTTGAAATCTATATTTGCCTGGTCCTGCTTTTTTTTTTTTTTTGGTCCTGCTTTTTAATAATTTAAAATATTCAGCGAATCAGAGTCATAGCTATTGAGCATAATACCTAAGGCTCTATTTCACTTTCCTGAGTTTTGTTTGCCTGGTCTTAACCTTAAGCCTGGTTTGGTATTTTAAATACATGAAGTCTCTAGAGAACTGATTCCAAACTGTCCGAGACATTTATTTAGGCAAAGGTAGAGATTAGCATTTTTATACATTTGTCATGTTTCATGTCAGAAGTAATGGCTGCCAGGTATACCATTAAACACAAGGACACATATTTAATGTAGTTATCTTTTGTTATTCTGGTTTTCTTTTTGGTACCGGGATCGAACTCGGGTCCTTGGCTTGTCTTTTGTTATTCTTTATGGACACGTAAATACAAATAAATAAGACAATTCTTTTCCCTACTGTACTCCTTTCATTGAATTGAATTACATAATTTAAGACATAGTTGGTGAGTAGGTTACTTCTCACTTAAGTACTGTATGTTGAAATCACAAAACATTTCATGGCAGCTGAAAGAAACAAAACGTTATTTCTAAGATCATTTATTGACATTTGTTTCTTTGTGTCTATTACCCCTTTCCATGCCACCAGACAAACGAACTACTTGTTGATTTAAAAAGTATATGCATGACACATTAAAAACTTGACAATATAGCATGACTTTCTGAATCCCTACACTGTGTATTTAACAACCAAAATGTGATGAAAAGTAAACAATCCAAGAAACATATTTAGTTTTACATTGGCAAATACAAAAAATTCAATGAAGTAGCCTCTCCTCCATTGCACTAGCTTGATACAAATAAATTTAAACTCCTGCCCACCCGGACTTTCTTAAATTCTGATAGGGACCAATGCAATTCATTTGCATTGACTTTCTATTGTAGAGCTTTGGAACCAAGGGAAGGATCCAAACATAGCTCCATTTTATCCAATCAGAAGAGCCGCTTAGTGTTAAACTCTGATTCGCCCATTCCTCCTTGCATCTATCCAATCATGAGGCAACTTTAACAGCCAATCAGAGGCCTAAACATCCGCCAATCAGGGAACGGGGCCGAAGCACGGCCTTTGTGTCCGGGGATGTCAGCGCGTCGGCGAATGTTCCACCAATAGAAAAAGTCGTTGGTGTATGCAAATAAGTATCCTATGACGCAGATACGCAGCGTGAAGCGTGCATATAAAATCGGAGGCGTCGGGGGCTTTGGAACGCAGAGCGGTTTAGTCGGTGGTTTGGAGAGCGTCGGTTTTGTGTTTGGCCACGGCAGCTTTTTACTGAACGCCGGCGCGGCGGTCGGAGAATCGACCTAAGACTTCGGCGTTGGGTAAGTATTCGTGAGCTTCTACGTGTTTTAGGTTCCGTCTACCGTTGATGCCGGGAGGCCCGGCCGCTGGAAGTCGATTGTTGGGTGGCGGGGACTCCTCGGGCGGCTAGCTTGGTTGTGAGATGAGGTTTCCTCTTGGGCTTGATTCCGGATCCGCGTCTCCGCCTCCCCGATGGTGATTCAGAGGTCCCGACGCCAGGTTCTGGGCAACCGGGCCTCCGCCCGTCGAGAAAGGGAAGTGACTCCTCCCCGTACTCCCCCCTCGCGGGGGAGGCTGTTGCTCCTCGCAGCCTGAGTCATTAGAGGAGGGGGAGGAGGCGGCGACGGTGGCCCTCGACCATCTGCTACCGAGAGGTGGGGCACGAAGAGGTGGGAGGGCAGGGGCGCGGGGCTCTTCCCCCACCACCCCGGGGGGCGACTGGAGGGCTAGGCAGGGTAGCAGCCTCGCGGGCTCATCTCTTGGGGTGTTGTGTTTTAGGTAGAAAAAAATGGCCCGCACCAAGCAGACTGCTCGTAAGTCCACTGGTGGGAAAGCCCCCCGAAAACAGTTGGCTACTAAAGCTGCCAGGAAAAGCGCTCCCTCTACCGGCGGGGTGAAGAAACCTCATCGCTACAGGTAGGCAAAGCAGAAGGGAAACAATGATTTGGCTGCTGTCTGCATTGTGCGCTAACAACCCCTTGACACCCCTGGTGTGTCCTTTTACATTCTCTGCACCCTTCAGGCCCGGTACCGTGGCGCTTCGAGAGATTCGTCGTTACCAGAAATCGACCGAGCTCCTCATTCGGAAGCTGCCTTTCCAGAGGTTGGTGCGAGAGATTGCCCAGGATTTCAAGACCGACTTGAGGTTTCAGAGTGCAGCCATTGGTGCCCTTCAGGTAAGGAGAGAATAATAAGGCTTTGCGGGTGGTGGTGGGGGGGGCCCTTGTAGTTTCTTTCCGAAGGAGCTAATGGTGTGGTTCTTGTCCTCAACAGGAGGCTAGTGAAGCATACCTGGTGGGCCTGTTTGAAGATACTAATCTGTGTGCCATCCACGCTAAGAGAGTCACCATCATGCCCAAAGACATCCAGTTGGCCCGCCGGATACGGGGAGAGAGAGCTTAAGTGAAGGCAATTTTTATGGCGTTTTGTAGTAAATTCTGTAAAATACTTTGGTTTAATTTGTGACCTTTTTTGTAAGAAATTGTTTATAATATGTTGCATTTGTACTTAAGTCATTCCATCTTTCACTCAGGATGAATGCGAAAAGTGACTGTTCACAGACCTCAGTGATGTGAGCACTTGCTCAGGAGTGACAAGTTGCTAATATGCAGAAGGGATGGGTGATACTTCTTGCTTCTCATGATGCATGTTTCTGTATGTTAATGACTTGTTGGGTAGCTATTAAGGTACTAGAATTGATACATGTGTACAGGGTCCTTTTGCAATAAAACTGGTTATGACTTGATCCAAGTGTTTAACAATTGGGGCTGTTAAGTCTCACCATACATCACTGTGATAGAATGTGGGCTTTTTCAAGGGTGAAGATACAAGTCTTAACCACAGTGTAACTTACAGTTTCCTTAAAAAAAAAAAAAGTAAACCTGGCAGCTATAGAATACACTATGTGCATTTATAATAGCTATTTTATATATTGTAGTGTCAACATTTTTAAATTAAATGTTTTACATTCACAAGTGATGGGGAGTCTTGTCATTAAGGTGTGTGTAATTTAGAGTTCAGTTGGTTTTCTAAGTAGACTGCATTTGTTTTCTATATAGTAGTGAAATGCTATGTGTATACCTTGCATAAGTCCTCATTCTACCACATTAACTAACCCTCTAGCTGATACTGCAAACACTAAGTGGGGGATTTTGTTTATAAGGGCTCTAGAATAACAAGTTATTCACACCAGCATCATCTGTTACTAATATTCTAGTTAGTGCAGCTTCTCATTGTGTTGTGGTTGGTCTTATAATTAGGTTTTTTCCAATCTAAGAGGAAACAATACCGAGGTTGGTTCCTTTCCTCTTGTGGCGTTAGTGTGAACTTGCTGTGGGGGGTGGAGCGTACTGCTCCAGCCTATTGGATCTCTGCCAATTAAGATGGTGTTGGGTTTGGTCACATCTGGTCGTAATCCTGGGGAAAAATCCCTTTTATAGAGCCGGCCTTCCAAGTGGTTTTTAAATTCATCCTATCGAAGTTTTTAGGTCGATTATGTACGTTGACTAAATTTACAAATAAAACTTGTTTATCCAACTAAGTGTCAAAAACCTAAATTGAATGTACAAAGCTTTAATACATTTACGTAGGTTCTGTATATTCTAACATTGAAGCACAGATTATTTCAGCTTTTGTGTGGTAGACAAAGGTACCATTTACTTTAAAAATATATAAGCATGTAAACAGCCCTTTGCTCTATAAAATGCTGTGATGAGCTAGGGATGTAGCCCAGTGGTAGTGTTTGCCTAGCATGCAAAAGGCCATGATACTGCTGTATTTGCAGTGGGCTTCAAATTGTACAGTATTAAGTCTTTTCCCCTGTAGTGTTAAGAAAGCTTGGAAAACAAATTCTTAGGTTTCAGGTTCAAATTTGGGGTCTGTTTTATCAACCTGAGCTTGGAGCCTTGGAAATTTTTATACAAATTAACACAAGTCTGGGTGTAGAATTCATTGTTGGTTTAAGCCACCTTTTTAGCATGAAACCAGTTTTCTTCAGTTGAGGGCTGCCTTGTTATGTATCAAGACGGACAGAGTACCAGGACTTCCTTAGTAGCTATAGAAATTCTTGCCCTAAAAGTTGTTTCAAATTCAAGGTGCTTAAGAAAAGGCAAGGTAGAGAGTGGATGATCATGAGTTATATATATATAAGGGATTGGAGATGCGATCCATGTAAACTGGTTTTGTAGGTCCATCAGAACCATCTAGAACACACTTGGGAGAGAATTCTCTTAAGTTGTGGTTTGAACAAGATTGCAATCTGAGGTGTTGGGATGCACTGTTTTGAGTGTGTTTGGAAAAAAACAGCTTTGGGGATAGGTTTGAATTTACCTGTGGGTAACCAAGAGTGGGAGATGCTACTGAGCACACTCCTGATCTGCAGCCTGAAAGCTGCTTGAATAGTGCAAGTTAGGCTTCCACACTTCACTTGTACACTTAACCCAGAAGACAAATATCTTTTGGTTCTAGGAAGCTGTCCATACAGGATATTCCTGGGTAAGGGCAATGGACCGGAATCTGTAAGAAGGAAAGTAAAAGATGTCGCTGATGAAGGTATCCTGTGCCCTTGATGGATGAGACAATAAAGTTTTTGAAGTTTGGAGATTTTCTCATCTTGTTAATGGTTTTCATTTGATGTCTGTTTTTTTTTTTTCTTTAACAAAGCTTGGAAATGAACCTTGGTTTCTCAGGACGGGGAGCACATTTGAATAATGAGGCTAAGTAGGTCTCATTTTTTTTGTACAAGGACTTGAACCCACAGAGTGGGTCTGCACCCTCAGCCTATTTTGAGATAGTCTTGCTAACTCCCGGTTTTATCTGAATTTGTTTTTGTATTTCAGCCTACTAAAGAATAGATGAGATTAGAGTTCACTGCACCCAGTGAGGCTTTCTGCCAGTGACCTCAGTTGGATCCTTGTATCACCCCCACCCTCACCCCTATTGAATCCAGGGCTACACTGAATCTCCAGCTCACATTTAAGTCTCAGGACAGGTTTTGTTAAGTAATCAAACTGCCAATGCTGGACTTGAATTTGGGATCTTTCTGCCTCAGGTTCCGAGAGTGCTGGGATTACAGGCCAGCACCGCTGCCTATATTTTTCTTTTTTGGTACCAGGGATCGAACTCGGGTCCTTCTGCTTTTGAGGCAGGTGGTGGAACCACTGAGCTAAATCCCCAGCCCTATATTTTTTGTTTTGAGACCAGTCTCCCTATGTAGTTCAGGCTGGCCTCAAACTGGTGGCAGTCCTGCCTCAGCCTCTCGTGCTCAGATTACAGGTGTCCCGCTGTAGATCTCTCCAGTTTTGCCTTAGTTCACCTGGGATAGTGCCCCTTGTTTTTGTGGAGTAGTGCCAGTGTTTAACCATACACACCCAGTTTGGCAATTATATGGTCAGCCTACTTGTAACATTAAGATGTGTGATGGAGACCCATTGAATCGTTTGTATAAGAACAGATCTCGGGAAAATATGCTGGGTTCAAGGTGCTTTTCACACTGAGTATTGTGTGCTTGAAGGATGACAAGTTGGAGCCTAGCCTGGGCAATTTAGTGACTCAAAGGGTGGAAATACAGCTCAGTGTGAAGGCCTTGGGTTCTCAATCCTCAGTTCTTTATACCGCTTTAAATTCTCTTTAAGGGCTGGGCTTGGTGGTCCTGTAATCCCAGCACTCTGGAGGCTGAGTCAGGAGGATTGCCACCAGTTCCAGGCCAGCCTGAACTACGTAGAACCTCAAAGGAAAAAAAAGACCTATATAAGATCTAGTTTATCTCAGAAGTCATCTGTCCCACAGTTGGTTCTCAGATAAAGCAGAGATTTTACTCAGAAATGGGGCCTAGGTGGTGTATAACTGTAATGGGGGAAAGGAAGGGGGAAAGGGCCAGAAAAACGAGGGCAGTGAGTGTTAACCTGAGGTGGATCTGGCTTCTGGTCTACAACTTTAAGGCAACCATGGCCTTTTGCCACCTTGAGGGAAGAGGCTCAGCCTTGATTGAGGATGTCTGCCACTTTGAGCAGTCCCCAGTGTTCCTGGCCCTTACTGGTCTGGACTAGGAGCCATCTGCCAGAGTTTGGAAAAACATGCCTGGACCTTTTTGTGCTGCTGCCTATCCCCAAACTGACCTCTGCTGCCACATGGCCAGTGTCTCCAGGTGTAAAGAAAAAGGCTCATGGGGCCAGGGATTTAGTTCAGTGGTTCGGGCTCCTCCCTCAGAAGCACAAGGACCCGAGTTTGATCCCCGGCACCAAAAAAAAAAAAGTCTCAAAGTTTACTGGCTGAACAAAATGTATAATTTCCTAATCACTCATATACTGGATCATTCTTTAGTTTCCCCAAAGAGTCTCTGCTGCTGCTTTCCCTACCTGTCTCCTTGCACAGACTCCGTGTGGTGCCAGGCATCTCCTCTGTGGTCTTTGAGCAGTCAGGAAGAAAGCCCTTTCTCTTCCTCACTGGCAGGTAAGACTGCAGAGGGAGGAACCCGGCAGAACACAGCTGTCTGTCATTTGATCAGCAAGAGACCCAGGGGCTAACCCTTCAGTTTCTGCAAGTTGGATCTAAGCCTCCGGCCTGTGGCCAATCTAGCATGCCGTGGAATGAAGAATTTCCACGTGTGTGTAAACCATTTCCTAGTCCTCTCACCAAAAGAGTCACACCCCAGCCACGTCCCTGAGGCATCAGCTGCACCTTAACTAGGCTCTCGTAGCCACCTCTTTCCTCATTTCTGGTCAGTGGTGCTCCTTGCTCTGTGCAGGCATTCCTCAGGGAGATGCCCTCATCTCAAGGATGTCACCAGCCTGGATCACTTTGTCCAGCTAGGCTTTGCTTCTGATCAACAGATTCAGCACAAATAACTGGCTTTCCACCTATGTTCCTAAGGATAGAGGAAAGGAGCCCTCACCCGTGTTGTTAGTCTGAATTCCACAGCAGCATCCCTAAGGAGAATGTTGGATGTTGGGCTAGCCTTTTAGCGCACGCTCCCTCTCTCTCTCGCTCTGTCTCTCTCTACTGGGGCTGGAACCCAAGGCCTCATGTATGCTAGACAAGTGTTCTACCACTGAGCTACACTCTCAGCCCTTTTTTGAAATTTTGCGATCAATTCTCACTAAGTCGTCCAAGCTGGCCTCAATCTTGTGCTGCTCCTGCTCAGCTAAGTAGCAGAGATGACAAGTGTGGACCGCCATGCCTGGTTCTTGTGATTGCATTGCCCCTTCCACAGGTGTGGGGAATGAGAAAGTCCACTGTGGCCTTAGGCACAGGGGGCATGGCTTTGACTTTGTAAACTCAGGCTATGTTGTGACGAAGGGCCAGAAGATGGTGACCTTCCTCCTTTCTTGGGGGACTCTTGCTCCCTTGCTCCAGGGACTGCCCAGCGACCCCTAGAAACCCCTGCCCAGACACCACTATTGGCTCCAGGCAGAGAGCCACAAAACTTCCATGTGATGAGCCCCAACCTGTGCTGGTCCTTACCTGAGCACCACACCAGGTTCCAGCAGGGCCACTATTACGGCACAGATTCACCTAGGAGCTGTGCACTTGCTGTTTGCCCTGACTAGACCTCCCCTACATCTACCCCATTGCCCTTCCACATGGAGGAAGCTAAGAGGTTCTGCAATCACCCCCTACTGTGGAAGCAGAAGGTAGTATCACTGAGGCTGTAGCCATCATACATGATCTAGAAAGGGATGCAGAGGAAGGGACAGAGGGACCAAGGTGTCTCATTCGGGACACTGCAGTTCCAGGGATGCACATGGTGGGACAGAGGGCAGGCAGAAAGGGCGGGTAGGGTTGAAACAAGACCTTGCTATGTAGTTCAGGCTGGGCTTGAACACACCATGTAGCATAGACTGCCCTCAGACTTGCAGTCATCCTTCTGACTCAGCCTTCAGTGAGAAGACTCCAGGAGGAAGAGGGGAGTGGGCTGCAGGTTTAGGGCACATACTTTGTTTTTGTTTTTTTAACTCTATCCTTGAGATTGAACCCAAGTCCTTGTGATCTTCCCACCTCTGCTGGTGGGCATACTGAACCACAGGATTTTCCCACAAGCTCCTTACTACCTTAGCACTAAACCGTCAAGCAGAAAGCCCAGGCATCATGGCCCAGTGTCCTGCTTCAGTGCACAGCCCTCTCTCTCCCCAGTTCCCTGCCTTCAGCTCATCTCAGTCCACCTGACTACCTCCAGTGGCCTGAGGCTTTCTGGCCAGTGTAAGGTGCCAGAATAGACAGCCACAGCCCTGAGCTTTCAGCCACATCCTGGAAGTCTGGTGGTGTCGGTCTAGAGGGCTGTAACTTGAGGGACAGAGTAGAGCCACTAAATAAAGACAGTCTGCAGCTGGTTTCTTTGAGCAGGGAATCTAAAGCCACAGAAACCTGGCACTCCAAAGGCAGGGACTGAGTCTCGCCTGCCCCTAAGTCATGCCTGGTATACACCAGAGCCTTAAGGCAGGTTTGCTGACCAAACCGAATGGCCTTGGAAGCCCTATAGCACAGCTGGCTGGCTCTCTCCTGGGACTAGTGCAAAGGATCACTCTGGTTTCCAAAAGTTATGGCTATCGGCCTGGCTTCCAAATGGGAAAATCCCACATAGGAATTGGGGCTCCAGAAGTCTGGGAGGCAAGCTGTACACTCTGTCCACTACTGAGAAGAGACAGCTTTGGATCTTAGTTCTTTTTTTTTTTTTAAGACAGAGTTGGCGGGTAGCTCAAGCTCTCCTCAAACTTATTATGTAGCCCAGCCTTGATTTGCAATCCTGCTTCAACCCTCTAAGTGCTGGCATTATAGGCGTGCCCCATACTTGGCTCCAGATCTTAGCAGTTTAGGGGTTGGTGAGGGTTGAGACAAGATTTTGCTGTGTGGTTCAGCCTGGCCTTGAACTCACTCTGTATCCCCAGGGTGGCCTCGAACTGGCTGTGATCTTCCTGCCTCAGGCTCCAGAGTGCTAGGATTACAGGCACATGTCTTCACATTCGGAAGATCTTGGTACTTTGCGGGCAGAGGCTGGCAGAGCTGAGACTGCATCAGTCCAAGGTGTGAATGATGGCAGGATGGCAGCTGCAAGAACAGGCTCAGGGTCCGACAGAACAATGTCCAGCACTCAGTTCTTCCACCTGGATGTGTTGCTTAATTTCTTCATCTATAAAATGGGAACAACAAAAAAACACATTTATTGGTACATTTATTTATTTATTCATTTATTTTGAGACAGGGTCTTGCTATGCATTCCAGGCTGGCCTTGAACTCATGGTGATCCTCCTGTCTCAGCCTGCCAAATGCTGAGATTACAGGCATTGGCCACCACTCCAGGCTCTGTTTTTTATTTTTTATTTATTTATTTATTTATTTATTTATTGGTACCAGGGATCAAACTCGGGTCCTTGTGCTTGAGCAGCAGGTGGCGAAACCACTGAGCTAAATCCCTGGCCGAAGGCTCTCTTTTTTAAAGCCACTGTAGTCTGGCTGGTGTCCACCCTCAGCAAGGCAGCCCTGGACCGCAGTCACCTCCCCGAGTCCCCTGAGCACCTGAGATGCAGTGGTAGGTGGCCAGGTCCCCTGCGCCCTGTCCAAGCCAGCTCTTTATCTTCCTGGAGCCCAACTTTGGAGCTACTGAACCTACT